TTCAAGATTAACAACACGTTTATTTTCCTCAATACAATCAAGAAGAACTGTCCCGCAAATGTTAACTGTGCAAACTCCCTTATCTATATTATCAGAAACAGAAGATGATGAAGACGAAGACGAAGATGAAGGCAACGAAAGCTCTTTTGAAAGATCAAGGTCAAAAAATGTAAAAATCACCACTGACTCATCGCCGTCATTTCGGATGGCCAGAACTCCATCATCAGAACTTTCATCTACATCTACTCCTTCCCCTCCTTTAACAACCATCCAACCTCCATTAAACTCTGCTACTACCACCAAGGTTACTGGGACGTGAAGTTGTTGAAGTAATTGGACTAATAATATCTTTATTGATTGTCAAACGTTCAGGTGATACCTTGATACCACGTGGTTGATCATCTACAATTTCCTCTATTAATTTATTTGGATTTAATAAACTTGCGATAGATGGTGTGGTGGTAGGGGTTGTATTTGTGGAAGATGATGGCGAGTTGAGTTTTTTATCGTCCGAGGATTCGGCAGTCAAATCAACTTCTTCACTTGACCAAATACCAATATCTTCATCTTCATCTTCCTCGTTGATAGTTTCCAATGAATTTTCTGCCATGTTGACTATAATTTGTGGTGATTTGCTAGAATCAGAAATGTCACTTGCAAGTGATGACGAAGGACTATCATTGTTGTTGCCATCATTTTTATTGTTATCATCAGTGTTATTTTTATTGTTATTAGTATTACTATTAGCAAAATTATCGGTATCAGAAGTAGTTGTAGAGGCGGAAGAGGGTGAGTTAGAAGAGGGTGAAGTAGTTGAGGTTGGGGTGGTGGCAGTTGAAGATGGTGAGGTAATGATTTCTTTTAAAGAACTTGATGAACCAAAACTTTTACTTGATAATATACTTGGACTATGACGTTGATGATATTTTCTCAATTGACCCAAAGTTTTCTTTGCCCATAAATTACCTACTTTGCCTATATGCTCAGCAGGATTATCGCCAGGTTTGATTAATTCCTCTTTTTGTTTTTCTCTGGCAGGGCTAAAAGGTCTTTTTGGCCATTTCCA